ACCCTCCCCATAGACTTGGAGACCCCACCCACGGGCTTGGAAGACCCCAGACCACGGTGGGTTTCTTTTTGGGGGGCAGGGGGGGTTGTCTCACCAAGATGGCCCCATAGACCTTGTGTCCATCAGCCTTGACCTGAGCGTTGGAGACGGAATAATCGTCCAGCACGGCCTGGAGGTTGGCCCAGTAGGTGGGGAGATGGGGGTAGAGAACCCTCTCCACGGCCTGGGGAGGGGGGACAATGTCACCTAATGACCCCCCCCTTGGATCCCAGACCCTCCCCCCAACCAGGAGACCCCTCCTCTACCTTCCAACCCAAGGCATGAAGTCCCACCACGGCGCCGTAGTGGGAGCAGAGGGGCCGGACGGGATCGGCCAAGACCTTCTGGAGGGAGAGGAGGATCTGGTGGTAGAGGCCACTGACCAGGTCACCGTGGGTCCTGGGGGGGTGAAGAGAGCAGGTTTTGCACAAAAAAGTAGGGGGAGGGTGGTGAGGAAACCCAAGAGCTCCTCAAAAGAGGTGAGGAAACCCAAGAGCTCCTCAAAAGAGGTGAGGAAACCCAAGAGCTCCTCAAAAGAGGTGAGGAAACCCAAGAGCTCCTCAAAAGAGGTGAGGAAACCCAAGAGCTCCTCAAAAGAGGTGAGGAAACCCAAGAGCTCCTCAGAACAGGTGGGGTTTGGGTGAGAAAACCCAACATCTCCTCAAAATGGTTGGGTTTTGGTCAAGGAAACCCAACATCCAGGGAAGCCATCTCCTCCTCAAAATGGTTGGGTTTTGGTCAAGGAGACCCAACATCTTCTCAAAATGGTTGGGTTTTGGTCAAGGAGACCCAACATCTTCTCAAAATGGTTGGGTTTTGGTCAAGGAAACCCAACATCTCCTCAGACCAAGTGGGATTTAGGCCCAGGAAACTCAACATCATCTCAGAATGGTTGGGTTTGGGTCAAGAAAACCCAACATCTCCTCAAAAAAAGGGAGGTTTTGGTCAAGGATACCCAACATCTTCTCAAAATGGTTGGGTTTTGGTCAAGGAAACCCAACATCTCCTCAGACCAAGTGGGATTTAGGCCCAAGAAACCCAACATCATCTCAAAATGGTTGGGTTTGGGTCAAGGAAACCCAACATCATCTCAGAATGGTTGGGTTTGGGTCAAGAAAACCCAACATCTCCTCAAAAAAAGGGGGATTTTGGTCAAGAAACCCAACAACTCCTCAAAATGGTTGGGTTTTGGTCAAGGAAACCCAACATCTCCTCAAAATTATTGGGTTTTGGTCAAGGAAACCCAACAACTCCTCAAAATGGTTGGGTTTTGGTCAAGGAAACCCAACAACTCCTCAAAATGGTTGGGTTTTGGTCAAGAAAACCCAACATCTCCTCAAAAAAAGGGGGATTTTGGTCAAGAAAACCCAACAACTCCTCAAAATGGTTGAGTTTTGGTCAAGGAAACCCAACATCTCCTCAGACCAAGTGGGGTTTAGGCCCAGGGAAGCCAAGGCCCCTCCTGGGGTCCCTCACCAGAAGATGCGGCTCAGCAACATGGCCGCGTAGTCGCGGAGGGTCCAGTGGTCGTTGAGGGGGTTGATGGAGGCAGCCAAGGGCTCCAGGGCACAGTAGAGGACACTCCCAATCAGGCTCCTCACGTAGGAGCCCAAGCACAGGAAGGGGTTTTGGATCAAACTCCGCGCGATGTGGAGCAACCGACTCAACTGCTCCAGGTCATGGCTCACCGACTTCACCTGTCCCAGAGAGAGACCCACCAGGAGGGTTGGGGACCCACCAGGGGGCTTGGAGACCCTCTAAGAAGGCTTGGAGACCCACCAAGGGGCTGGGAGACCCTCTAAGAAGGCTTGGAGACCCAC